AGTGGCCACCAGGGAAACCTGGGGAGGGCTAGCCTCCCACTAGTTCGAATTAAGGGGCTACACACCCCTTAATTCGAACTAGCTAGTTCGAACTAGGCTTAATCCTCGTAAAATGAGGTTTTCCTAGTTCGAACTAAGCGCTCCGCTAGTTCGAATTAAGTTCGAACTAGCGGAGCACTAGTGTAGCGCCTATGAACGTTAGTTCGAACTAACGTCCGTTAGTTCGAATTAACTTTGTAGTGTAGACATACCCTTAGAGACTAACAAAGAAATATATACAGTATCATGGGCTTTCGTGGGCAAAACCTACTTCCTCAGATGAGCAGAGTGTCAAAGTGGGTTTTCATAGAATCACAGAGCTGGAAGAGACCTCAGGAGGTCATCAAGTCCAGCCCCCTGCCCAAGGCAGGACCGATCCCAACTCCATCAACCCAGCCAGGGCTTTGTCAAGCTGAGACTTAAAAACTTCTAGGGATGGAGATTCTACCCCCTCCCTAGGGAACCCATTCCAGTGCTTCCCCACCCTCCTAGGGAAATAGTTTTTCCTAATAGCCAACCTAGACCTCCCCCATTGTAACTTGAGACTATTGCTCCTTGTTCTACCACTTGCCACCACTGAGAACAGCCTCTCTCCATCCTCTTTGGACCCTCCCCCCCTTCAGGAAGATGAAGGCTGCTCTCAAATCCCCCCTCACTCTTCTCTTCAGACTAAACAAACTCAAATCCCTCAGGCTCTCCTCATAGGTCATGTGCTCCAGCCCACGAAAAGCTCAAGGAACGATATATATATATAGTTGGTCTCTACGGTGCTACAGGACTACTTGTTGTTTCCTTAACGTCACAGACTAACACAGCGACCCCTCTACATGGTGATACTGATGCCATGTAAAACGGTGTTGTTTCCAGTTGGGTTGACTCAAATATTCAGAGATGGCTGAATTCTTCCAATGCAGAAACTGTGGTGGGGGTGGGTGGGCTAGGGAGGCTGTGGAACATTTGATCTGCTATTCCAATTATTAGCGGAGGGTCTTTTGAGTTTCCTTACAATGGAGCACACCCTTCACAGATGTGGAACTGCTGTGGGTCAGGGTAATTTTACCGCCACACAAAAAAAATTCTGGGCCTCAACACCGTTGGGCTTTGGCTGGTCATTCAGAGCAATCACATATCCCTTGATGCACAAAAAAAGTCGATAACTGAATGCATGACTGAAAACAATGAAAGTCATTTTATAAATTTAAAAAAATGCTCATTAGATGGTGATATTTACCTTGTACCATACTACTTCTGGCTCTTGAGTGGACGTCTTATAATCCTCAATGTCGGGGCAGGAGATTATCTTCCTTTTAGTGACTTCTGATTTCTCCAAATACCGGATCTGGCTGTTATAGCAAAGCCCAGACTCATTCTCAGCCACTGTCAAGGACATTGACACCTTCATGCAATAGGTGGAGTTCCTGCAAAAACAGAGCAGAGTCTCACATGGATATGTTACCAGGCCGGTTTCAAGAGCATAGGCATTTCCATCATGATCTCACCTACAGGAATCAGGAGCACACTCAAATCACTGTAAGGTTGCGCCATTCAGGCATTAAGAAAATATTTAAACAGATGCAAATTAAAGATGAAGCATCACACAGAGCTTACATTCGCTAGTGCAATTTGTTTTGTCTAGCTCAGTGACACAAATGTAGTCATCCTCTTTATCAGATAGGAGAAGAATACTCAACCCCAAGAACTCATTTTACTACACCAACAGGAGTTACTATGGGTACATCTGCACTTCTGAGGCAGATCGAAGCTGCCGCTGTCGATCTGCCAGGATTCAAATTAGCGGTCGAATTAAGACAGCAAATTTGAAGTGAGTGGGGTGCTTTAGTCAATGCTGGTAACCCTGCTTTCACGAGAAGTAAGGGAAGTCAGAGGAAGAGTGTTCTGCCTTCAACTTACTGCTGTGCAGACAGCACCAAAAGTTGAGTTACGCTACTTTGACTTCAGCAACGCAATTAATGTAGCTGAAGTTGCGCAGCTTAATCCGACTTTGTCCAGCAGCGTATGATATCAACTAGAGGAAGGGGCATATATGTAGAAATACACTAAAGAAGTTTCACAGCATCATTGTGCAGAGACCCTCGAAAGAAATCCCATTGCATTTGAGCTCCTTCGATGGCAAAGCTGCAGGACCGCATGTTTTGGAGTGAAGGGGTTTATATATTTATTATCGGCAATCACCTCCCCGCTGAACAACAGCACAGCCTCAACGGTCGGTGGACAAGCATACCCTTACAACTGAAGGACACACTCATCAGCTCATCCCCTTTGAAGTAGCATTCACTGGCACAGCTCTGATAGATAACTCTCCCCCGCCCTCTGCCGACAGGTGACTCCAACCTAGAAGACAGTGGCTTATACCGAAAGAGGGGGATGCAATTTGCACTCCTCTGAGTCAGTTGCACTAAATCATGCACAGCATGCAGGAATAAACCTTTCCACTGAAGGAATGCTTGGTGAAAGCCTATGGCAGGAGGTCAGACTGGCCAGAGAAAGTGATGCCTTCTGGCATTAAATCTAGGAACCTATAATTAGTGAATCTAAAATCACACGTTTCTCAGTGCCCACACAAACAGCGAGGGTGAAGTCCAGGAAGGAGTGCAGGTGTTAAATCCCAATTTTTTTGCTTTTCCTGCTGTCAATCCAGAATAAATTTTAATGACCCAGCTACATACTTCCTGAATGTGAAAAATATGGGGTTAAAACAGAACTGTTTACAGACTCACAACTCTAACAGAGTTAGCAGCTACCACAACAACTCCTGCGGGTGTTTATCAGGGTGTTACTGTCAAGCATTTGCAGTTTGTGCAAGGCTGTCGCAACTCAGACTGCCAGATTCTGGTTTTCATTAGATCGGATGGGAAACACAGTCCTTTAAGAGCAGACTCCAAAGAACCAGAGAGCTCTGTTTCCCATCATGCATCACATTGTCACTTTAAGTTTTCAGGAATCAAAGAGGTCTGAGGCAACACGGATACACTGGCTGGCTTCAATGTCACGAGCAGTCCTGGAGAGTTCCCACTGAAGATAGGACTCCTGTACTCTTCTGCGGCTATTGTGTTTCAGATTGTTTTACCAGGTACAAAACAGAGGGCTCACGGCAGGTACATTTTGCCCCATGCACCTGGAAAATAATATGTCAGCCAAGTGGGCAAAGCTCCGGCACTAACATCCTCGGCATCCTTAAATTAGACTTATGACAAAGTTGAAGTGAAAAGGACAAATACCAGTTTATCCCAGTGTTAATCTTTTGTTGCATCTCATCATGGCAATAACATGTCACATACGTCATGTATGTGGAGTCTGCAGCTAGAAACATACTAAAGAAGTGTGTCTGTATTTTCCCTCCTACAGGGACTTTTAAATTGCTGTTGTTATGGGTGACGGGGAGGGATCATGTGAGAATTCCCTGTTGTGTTCCCTCCCTCTGGAGCATCTGATATTGGCCAGTCGGCAGACAGGGTACAGGGCTGAATGGACCTTTGGTCTGACCCAGTCTGGCCGTTCTTATGTTCTTTGTTGTTTTAGTTAAAGTATAGTTATCGGAACCAACAAATAATCTTTTTGGGGCAGGTTCTGAAAACCTTAGACTTAACAGCACAAATCCATTTTCTCCTAAAACACTTGGGCGTTTTTGAAAACCTCACACTTTGCTCCTTGCATAGGGGGAAAAACTTCAGCTTTAAAGAGATTTTAAGTGTATTGTGACAGAGTACTAAAAACCCGCACAGCAGCAGTGAATGCACTTTACAACTGACGCATGTATATAATCAGCAACATTAAGCACTTGGTAATTACTAACTTACCTGGATGATTACACATATCCCTGATTACAAGACAGGTCACACACCCAGTAGAAATGATCAGGGCTCGTAAAGATAATGACTTTGGGAGTGTTAGTCATTGTTTGGTATAATTTAATAGTGCTGTATTTTCTGCTAACAAGCTTTCATTATTTAGATTGCATTTTGAACAGGGCCTGAGGCGAGATCTATTTCAAATGCTTACACCCTAAAAATGTTACATTCCTTCCACTAGGTACAATTAGACTGAGCAGAGTTGAGGAATTTGACTGCCTGGTGAGCAACATCACTTAAAAAAAGTAGAAACTCTGCCAGGATATTCAAGCTTAGGATAAATAAGGGCTTACTTAGCCATCTATAACAGGGTTGAGAACTGGATGGACTGTCTTCTACTGGCTGCATTTGACTGGGTCTCTTTTCCTTGAGGATATCTGTAGAGTGGTCTGTGTTATCCTGATATGTATTACCTTCCTTTTCCCTCTTTAAAAATAATGGTCCATCTTATTACTTTGTGTTAGAGAAAGGAGGAACTTCTTTATTGTCATGCTATTGTACTAGAAGATGGTCTGATTATACAAGGTCCCATGCATGGAGAGAACAGGAAAGAAAGGTTATGTAAAAGGAGTAAACAGGAGAGGAAAGTACTTACAAAGAGCACAGAAAAGTAACCAAAAAAAATCACTATTTTGGAGTTGCTCTAGCTGATGAGTGAAATTGACAAAATAATTTGTTTTCCACGGTGGATGGGGAGCTTGCTAGACGAAGGTTTGTAGACGTGACCTTGAAAATAGATTAGTTTAGTGGTGAGTTTGCAAAGTCAGTAGAAACAATTGTTGATGAAGTACAACTCAAATGATCTTAGACCTTAACGGGATTTCAGAGCACGCATTTAATAGACAAAAGGTAGGCTCAGCATAGAGAACACGTTTGGTAGAAAATAAACTGGAGACCTTGAAAACACAGCTTCTAAAGCATTTTCGCTTCTTAAATGGTCTCAAGCTGGGACCATTGGGTTGATCTCCATGGGTTTCAGGTTCTTAAAAAAGAGGGAGCACTCGTAACAAGAAAGGGGAGAACGGGAGGGGACGGTTTTTGCAAGGAGAAAGGATTTGAAATTCTCAAGATACTGCCACCAGAGGTTGGGATTCCCCATCTCAAAGTACTACTGTAAAATGTGTCTGCTCTCTAGACTGGAGAAGTGAAGAGCTCAACAGTTTTGCTTTGCAGGACTTTATGAAACTATTTTATCATGGAATCTGGGTCTTTACAATCCTCACGCCAGCCAAATTTTGCCTAGAAGTATGGATTCAGAATCCAAAAGAAAAACATGGTCAAAACAGAACCGGTGGTGGATTAGTTACTGGGCCCTGAATCCAGGGGCCCAGCTGATTGGAGGGAAGGAGAGGGTACAAAAAACTGGAAGCCCCATATCCCAACCCACAGAAGCAGGAGGATGGGTGGAGTAGGGCAAAGAGTATTCATGGGAGCTGCGCCTATTAAAGAATTTAAGAATCAGGCTTCTAACGGAATGTCGCTGGCTTCTATTAAATCTATGGCCCATCCATTGGGTCATTGCAACACTAATAGCATGTAGAGGCCGTCAAACCTCCCGAGTCCATTCCTTCGAATGGATCTCTGTAACTTGGGAACTCATGCGCTCCAGCTCATCTGAGGAAGTGGGTTTAGCCAACTAAAGCTCATGATATATATTTTAGTTAGTCTCTAAGGCACCAGAGGACCACTCCTTGTTTTTAACGTTACAGACTAACAGGGCTACCCCTCTGAGACTTTCTGACTTATAAAGAATACCAACCAATCCTCCACCTGTCTGAAAATCAAAAGGGCTTGGGATGCTAACAGCTATCTGTGGGAATGTGCATCCTTTCCCAGCTCTGAGATCCTGATAGTTCTCTCAGTAATGACTGGAGAGGGAAAGAAGAGACTATCTAGGTAACGGATAAACTCCAAAGTCTGCATTTATGTTGCCAGGTTTTGGAATACAAGGATATCATTATATCGTGGTTTCACATAGGTCTGCGGGTGGTGTCTCAAGTTGTTCTACATCAGTTCCATGAGGTTATATAGTCTTCTCATCTGTTTAAAGAAAAACACATCATTTATTATCATCCTACAATTCTGAACACAGGCACTGTATTCTTCTCCCATTGGAAAAGCGTTGAATGTACGATACTACTAACTCTATGAGAGTCTTCACGAGTTACCTTATTCTTCAATGAACCCTGCTGTTGTGTGCTTTGGGTCATTGTCTGCAGAAGATACTGGCCACTGAGAGAGGTTGCAAATCATGCTTGTATTTATAGTTTCAAAGTTTGTGGGTGTGCCAGTCGTTCTTCCTCCCTGAAGCGGGATGCACTTCCCATGTCAGTTTCATGCTTTTCTCCTTGTTCACTCATCAAGTTAGAAAGCAATGCCTGCAGGAGAATAAATTCAGTAACTACTTGACATTACAGTAGTCACAGAACCATAAACGAATACTATATATTCCTTCTGTTCCCATTGCATGTTACCTTGGCTTGACATAACTCCAGCCATTCCTGCAGAGAAGGTTGTTGTTTCTTTTACTATTGTAATTCCAATCTCAA